TATGATGGTATAGAACAGAACAGGACTGCCCCCCATGGGCTTCTGCGACTGGAACTCTACAAGAGCATAAAGCCTCATCTTTCCCCCACAGCGCAGCTGGTGGGTTTCCAACTGGACTTGTTGAGCTTGGCAGGACAGTGTGTGACTCCCTAGGCAACCAGGGTGCCTTCTCTTCCCTGAAGGCTCCCCCAGTGTTTATATGTATCCTCAAATCCAAAGTCCCGGTCATCAAGTAGATTCCGACTTACAGTGGTCCCTGTGTAGGGTCCCCGGGTGGTAATTCTTTCTAGAAGCAGATTGTCTGCACAGTGCAACTACAACAAACATTTGTTTCTCTAGGTGTCTTGGTTTTCAGGCCTGTTCTTGGGGTTCTTGGGGGCACTGATTCGGGAAAATTACATGGCTAGCCCACATCAGCTCTAGTTTCATATATACAGTGTTCCATTATATTTTCAGTTGTTACGTTAAAATTAAGTTATTATCTTCTTTAAATAGGAGATGAACATCTGACCCACAAATTACAGGCTAAGACAAAAGAGAGTAAATATTTGAAAGAACATTAGGTATTCAAGAATGTCCAAGGGAAGTTCTATAGGGACCCATGGTGGCTAGTTGTTATCTCACTCAATTGTCAATCTTAAGGTCAGCAGTTCAAACCCACCAGCTACTACTCTGCTGCCTTTCAAAGCTGTAAAGCTTTGGTGAAAACCCAAAGGGACACTTTGCTTTGTCCTATCGGGGTCACTATGAGTTAGAATTGATTAGATAGCCATGGGGGGTTCTGTTTGGGTGTTGGAAGCTGTGTCCTGTATACAGAGACTGCACGTTGGATCCTGAAATTATACTACAAGTTGGAGACTGAGAAGAGTGGGAAAGAAAAGAGAACATTGCAAAGACGCGTATTTGGAAGGTCTGCGGGCAAGTTGAGAGTGCGAAAATGGAAGCCTTAATAGCATTTCCTATAACTATCTTGAAGATCTAAATGTCTCTTCTTCAAATTATGCAGTAAGCAATTCAGAATCTATTTTAACATATAGAAGTCAATGGATAGTGCATGTTAAATGTTTCCGAGGTGAAGCTGACTCCAAGCTGCTTTATAAGAAAATTCTCTTTTGAGTTTCTGAGCACAGGTGGAGAAATTATGCCATTTTATACCAAGACTGAATTTTAATAAAGGAGTGTGAACTCTGATAGACCCATTTTGAGTTTCAGAACATTTGAGTCTTTATTTTACCAAACTCACTACTGCTCATTTGATTATGACTCATAGTGACTCTGTAGAACAGAGTAGAGCTTCTCCTGTGGCTTTCGGAAGCTGTAAATATTTATGGCAGAACTGCTGGGGAGCTTTTATAGCTAACATTGGAGTTAGCAGTAAAATGTAGAGCCCATTATTCCACCAGGGCTCCTTTATTATCGCACAGCAACTCTTATTTCTGGCCCGTTGTTAAGACAACAGAAAATGAACTGCCTGCTATTCAACTTCTAATAAAAGTAAATGAAGTGATGCTTGGGAAAGTTCCTAGTTCATGTAATTTGTACTGTTCAAATATACCTTTGGATCAAAAGACATCATGTAAAATATAACTTGGTCTAACTATTTAGTACAACACCAACTACTTTGAATAAGGCCAGTGTGGTAGTTACATAATCTGGTGCAAACTTGAGAGTACTAAGAGTGAATGGGGTGGAGACCTCATTTGGAGATGCTATGGGGATAAATAGTTCACTGGAGGCGGACACAGACTCACTCCCTGTGAGACATTCCTGTTGACAAACCACATGGAGCTAAGCTGATGGCACCCAGAGCCTGGGAGGTGGAGAAACCACGTGGAGATCCACTCCAGCGATAAGATGCTTCCACCACCACTGGATCCACAAGACTTCCCACCCACTGACCTGTAATCGTCCTGCATTCAGCGTCATTGCTTGTGTTGTGTGAGTCTAAAGAGGAATTTACAGACTGGTACTGGTCATATGGCTAAATAGCAGACTTACGGACTTGATCTGGGCTGGGCTGGGATGTTTGCTTAATGGACAATTAGCCTTCATATAAAGCTCTTTCCTATACACACACGAGTGTCTACGAATTTGTTTCTCTAGTCCACCCAAACTAACACAGCCAGTGCTCACTTTCTCTATCTCGGGCTAGGAAACACTACATTAACATATCCTAATTTTTTATGGTGAGCAGAGTGAAGAGTGGTATATATCATACGTTCTATATCTCAAAAACTAGAATTGATAGGGGGAAGCTGATGCCATTTGGGGAATCAGCAGGTCAAATATACTCAGAAACAAGTCTACCATTTGAGGCAACAAGATGTGTGTTGGGCAGTATAATTGGAACGTGGCATGTATGAAGTATGAATCTCCAAAAACGGGAAGTCATCAAAAATGAAATGTAATGCATAAAGATTGATATCCTAGGCATCAGCGAGCTTAAATTCACGTGACATAGCTTTCAGCATCACAGCCAAAGGCAAGCCGTCACAGTCAAAACAGTGACAGAGAAGTAGGGGAAATAAACGTGAGAGGGTGGTAACGTATTGTTATTCTAATGCAATCTTGAATTTATTTTATCTTGCTTGATCATTTCCTGTAACATTTTTACATCTAAAGGAAAAAGAAATAGCAGCCCACAAAATCTTTCTTGTGTTCCTCTCTTGCGCAGTTTGATGCACAGTCATGCAAAGTTAATCATTTGGAAAGCTTTCCATATATTTAATGCTCAAAAATAATTTTCAAAATGCAGAGGATTATATGTTAATTAGCTTTGTTGTTGTTGAGTACACCCTAAGATTCTCTGAGACAAGTTTTTCCCTGGAGAACTGGAACACTGACAATTTTTCAGATATTTTAGAAATTATTGTTGGCCTATTACACTGTCTAAATTTTATTTGGATAATTTTATTGGATCACTTCTGGAAAAGCTATTTCTTCTAAATTTTCCATTTTGTAAATATCATTACACTAAAAAAAAGTGAACAAAATCAGCTGTCACCTCGTCAGTTTTGTCCTCACAGAGGCCTAGAGAATAGAGGAAAAGCCCTCTGGCTTTCTAAGACTGTAAATCTGTGTGGGAACGCACCATCTCGTCTTTCTTCTGCACATGTTAATATACGTATGCTTTTTTTCATCATTTTAAAAATATCTTCATGCCTTGCCATTGTCCTTAAAAATACATTCGAAAATTAACTTGGGTCCGTTTTAATTTATGAATAGACAAGAATATTCTGCCTCCCTTTTATAAGTTAATTTCTAATGTCCTGGCTCTGTGGTCAGTCTCTGGAGAAGGACATCGCACTTCGTGGAAGGTCAGTGGAACCAGGAGTGCTTCCACGAGATGGATTGACACAGCGGCGGCAACAACAACGGATTGAAAGCTGACAAAGACTGAGAAGACGACACAAGATCGGGCATTGTTCTGTTCTGTTGTAGGGTCACTAGGAGTTGGAGCCGATGGAATGGCATCTGACACACACCTCCACCGTCAGTATGAATTGTCCAATCAGAGCGGGACGGTATGTTGCCATCACCTGACCTTTAATCACCTACCACCTGAAACCTAGAGAGGCATCAGTCTTACGGGCTTCACCCCCTTGCCCAAAGTATTGCTCTTGATTGTTGTCATGATTCCTCACGTCACCCTTAACTGTCACCTTTAGCTGCCAGGAGAGCAGTTCAGCGTTTAGAGTGACTTTGGATAGCAGGTGGTTTAGGTGTGGTTTTTTCAGAGGGTTTGGGGACAAGGCTATTCTGAAGCCATAAGCGTTGCAGCTACCTTGTGTAGATGCTGCAACCCACAACCCCCGTGAAAGGCTTCAGCTCAACCGTCCCCATTCCTGCAGGGGGGCCCGTGTGGTGCTGAGTTTTGATGTGAAGGGTTGTCTCTCCTATAGCTATGAGCTAATACAGCCTTAGGACGCCATGAACAATGTCAACAACAAGCAGCAGCATGCTAGTGAAGCCTGCTTCAAATTAAAGCACGGCTTTTATTGGTGAAGATATTTGCTAAAAGCTGTTATTTGAAATATCTGTAGATAGTTTGGATCTGTGAATAATTGCTATCTGCACGTCTCAAATTCTTTACAGTTTTCAGTTAGACATATCGAAGGGAGGCTATAAATAGTGAAGAATGTCGCTCACTGTATAATACAGTCTCTCCGCTTTTACAACTCATCATGAACTTCTATGTCATTTATTTTTTATTGAAGAATTCCAATTAATGGCTTCCTGGTGATTTTAAAGCCTCAAATTATAGTCTCTGAAAACAAAGCAGAGAACATAATTATCATAAACCGAGAATTTTTCATTTTGAAGCTTATCTGTTTGTGCTAAGTATCTTGTCTGTAAGTAATTAGTGCCTTTATTTTTTTTCAGTAAAAATAATGACCATTCTATGCTACACATCCAAATTTTGTTAACTGCTACATGTACTGTATGTATTATATCTGAAAATGGACCACCTTGGACCAGTTTTGAAGTATTTCATCAAATGATAATAGCAACAACAAAATACATCTGTTTGTCAGAATAAATTATGTGGCACGTATTTTAAAAACCTATTATATCCTTTTTGCTTTCTTTCTAAGAATAAAAGCCTCACAAAAATATGTACTTGCCATTTATTACCATGGCTGCATAGCAAGAAAAGGCCCGTTTTATCTGCCATTTATAATTCCTAACTGCTAATCAAATTGATCGGCCAATAGCTTGGTTGTAGAGGGCCTTTCATGGGACCATTTCAAAATGTTTTACTAGCGATAAAGCAACAGTCAATGAAATTAAACCAATTTGAATGACAATGTTAGCTAAACATTCCTGTAGGTATGCAGAGAATCTACACTTTGATAAAAGGAAGTGGGCTCTTCTGATGAAATCAGAACTGCTTCAGCCAATGGGAGTTTTGATGGTTCTCAAGCCAAATCATGTCCATTAGAAGGTTGGCCCAGAATAAGAAGACTGTTTATTCCTAGAGTTAAAACCAGCAGTTTTCTCCGAAGTGGACATTCCCGGGAGGTCACTCTCCCCGGGCTCTGTGCAGGTGGCACAGAGGAGCACAGGGCTCAGGGCCCCGTGACGGACAGTCCTTTTCCACAACATCGGGGATGAAGCCGGGCCTGGAGCCTGTGCCTGCACATTCCTACAGCTTCTCCTGTGGACAATGACTGCTGAGACAAACCATGCAGGAAACAGCCCTCGGATGCACCCCTCTGGAGTCTAGATTCAATTCCATGATGAGTTAGTCAGATTTGTTGTCTATTTTCCTTTTTCTTTGCAGAATGCTCAAAATTTCAGGCTATTGAGGGCAATCTCAAATCTACGACTACACTCACAAGGAGGAAAAGAAAGTGCCTCTCTCAGTCGGGCCTTTGTTTTTAAATCCATCATTTTTGATCCGGTGAGTTGACTATGTAAGACAATAAAATTTAAATTCCTCTAGTTGCTTCATTTTTTACTCCCTTTTTCCATGAATTTACTATAAATTAAAAGATGTTTAAATATTGGGGGGGAAAACAGCAGTTTTCTCCCTCTACGAGAAAACATCTTTTGAAGGCTATAAAATTAACATGTTCCTTTAGAAAAAAAAACTTGAAAAACAGAAATACAAGATTTTAAAATGTCTATTTTTTACTCTTAACACTCTGTCTAGCCTTTTCAGCTTAACACACACATACTTACATCAGATATATATATCTATCGTATGTGCATATGGTACATATGGGTGTATACATGTTTGCAATCACACACATGTATTTATATATCTGGGTGGTACAAATGCTGTGTGCTTGACAACACACCACAAACTCCCCCTGAGCTGCTCAGAAGCAAGGAGTGGCAGCCTGTTCCCAAAGGTCAGACTTAAAAAACCCTGGAGCCGTTCAACTCGTCACTTCTTACCAGGGCTGCACAGCAAGAAAAGGCCTGTTTCATCTGCCATTTATACTCCCTAACCGCTAATCAAACATTGTACTTCCTAAATGCTAATCAAACGATCAGCTTGGCTGTACAGCCTCTTGAGTGGTCATGAGTCAGAACGGGACTCCTGGCCACTGGGGACAGCAGCATGCCTCCCTCTACTGTCACCTTCAGTATACAATCATGGACGTACGTGTATTGATGCGCTCATACTGTGAAAGAGGAGGAGGGCTGTCTCTGATATCGGGGGAGCTCGCGATAGTAAGCATGCCATTTGACTCGCACAATGATTGCCAAGCCTTTATCCTGATATGCAGTCTACTGGTCTATCTTCATGTCTGAATTTGTACATAGTCTGTCCTTATTATCTCTGTTGACATCGACTATTGTTTTGGTACTCGTAGAGCCCTTCCCATTAAAGAAATAATAAATATTTTCTTCTTCATTGGTGGATTTATAGTTTTTACATGCAACCCTTTAAACTGATATCATAAGAGAGATGGTTCTAAATTAATACTTCCAAATTGTAAACTGTCTTTTCCAATAGGACTTATTAGCAACAGCATTCTTCTGCAGATTTTCAGTATTACATGTATGCCATTCTAAATTCTCATAGATTTGAGTCGGGCTTATGCTATCTATTTTGGACTAAATGTTTCAATAGCTGGTTTTGTAGTAGGTTTCACCACAAAGAATTTTCAAGTCTTTACATTCCTTCTAAAAAACATTTTAGCTATTTCTGACTATGTCTGTTTTTCCTCATAACTTACCTTATATTCATTTTATCACATTAAATAAGTTATTTTCCTTTTGAAAGCGCATTACATTTATAATTTGAGGTGGGGTAGAAAGGGGGAACCTATCTACATATAACCCCATCCCTGGGGGACGGACAACAGAAAAGATGGTGAAGGGAGATGTTGGACAGTGTAAGACATGACAAAATAATACTAATTTATAAATTAAGGGTTCGTGAGGGAAGGGGGGCAGGGAGGGAAGGGAAAAATGAGGAGCTGATACCAAGGGTTCAAGTAAAAAGCAAATGTTTTGAGAATGATGATGGCAACGAATATACAAATGTGTTTGAAACAATGGATGGCTATGTGAATTGTGGTAAGAGTTGTACAAGCCCCCAATAAAATAATTTTTTTAAATAACAATAATTTTTTGAGAAAATTGGGCATCTTTACAACTATCAGCCTTCCCATCCTTGAGCAGGCTACATCTTTCCATTCATTCACGGCTCAATGCCTCTCAATTCACTTTTAGGATTTAATTCATATAACTCCCCCTCTCGCCGGTTCACTGTTGAATTCCCAGGAAATCCCGAGACCCTGCACAGGGGAACTCACACCACATCTACTTGTTGAACACAGTACCTTATTTGTAGGTGTGAGTCCCTACCTGAACCTCTGCTCTGTGGCCTTGCATGGGCCGTCTAACATTTCAGTCTCAGTATCCTCAATTCAGTATGGTGTGACAATTATATCAAACTCAGACAACAGACTGACCTGTCCTATAAAAAGTGGGTGAAGGGAGACGTTGGACAGTGTAAGAGATGACAAAATGATAATAATTTATAAATGATCAAGGGTTCATGAGGGAGAAGGGAGCAGAGAGGGACGGGGGAAATGAGGAGCTGATACCAAGGGCTCAAGTAGAAAGCAAATGTTTTGAGAATAATGATGGCAACGAATGTACAGATGTGCTTGACACAATGGATGGATGGATGGATGGATAGACGGACGGACGGACGGACAGACGGATGGGCTGTGATAAGAGTTGTACGATCCCCCAATAAAATGATTTTTAAAAATTAAACAAAAGTGGAAGCAGAATGCTCCTTAAAGAAAAGGATGGTGAGACATGTCTCACATACTTTGGGTGTGTTGTCAGGAGAGATCAACCCCTGGAGAAGGACATCATGCCGGTCAAGTAGCGGGATAGTGAAAGAGTCCAACCTGCGACAAGGGGAATTGGCACAGTGGCTTCATGGCTGGCCCAACCATGAGAAGAACTGAGAAGACGGCAAAGGCGCAGGCACCGTCTCCCTACGTTATGCGTAAGGTCACTATGAGTTGGAACTGACTGGAGGCACCTAACAGGACGATTATGATGGGATTCATACACTGAGATTAATCCCCAAACTTCCTAGCACAGGGACTTCTATGTATGAAGATTTCAATAAATATAAGGGACTACTACAGTTACCTGAAAGTTGTGTGAAGGAAGAATCCACTACCTAGCTTAGAACCAAGGTCCACACACCTGCAAGGCAGTTGGCCATGTTGGGGAGGAACTTGACCTGGCCAATGCTCAGGAATGCCCCTAGTCTGCAGAGAGCGGCCTTCTTGTAACCACATGGGCATGTAGCCGTTACACCTCCAAACTGATTGCAGGGACACAGAGGAGGAATGTGGAAGGATAGCATGCATACGACTCGTGCTCGGCTCACCCGCAGAACACGTTTACTCCATAAATAACATGAGATACTATGGAAAGTATCCAAATGTCTCAAATCCTCATCAGAAACCATCCCATGCTTGGCCTGCAATGATTTGAATATACTTAGAGATTTGAGGTTCAAGGGCTCAAATTGTCTGAGTCCTGGTTTGCATGCTCCACTTTGATATTCATATAGACACAGCCCCGGTGCCTTCAACACCCCAGGACTCACGTTAGCCACCGGTCCTGCTTGCAATAAAGACTTCCTTTCATAGAAACACTCTGCTTTGCTTCCAAGTCCCCACCTTTTCAAGGCAGCTTGCCAGATGAAGGCAAAAGAGAGAGAATTCTAGCACATTGTCCCCCAATTCCAGGCAGTGTACAAAAATAAACTGCCCCAGAATGTATTCCTTTTAAGAAAAACTGCTTATTCAAGGCTTGCTTTTCTTGTTTGCCTTCCTTCTTCCCTTTCCAAACACTTCTCCTTCTAACATCATGCTGGAAGTGGCCATCTGTCTCAGCCACACACACAAACACAAGGGGAAACCCACTCACAATGAGTGCCGAGGAAAGAAAAATAAATCGGTCACAAGTGGGTTTTCTGCAGCGGACAACTTTTCCAAGCCATTGCCCAAGATCTGAGTTACCTCCCGGTCACACCCTGTCCAGTTCAACATTGAAAGAAAAAGGTCCAACAAATACCACACACACACACCAGGCCCCACTTAAACATTTTTAATTTACCTTTCCATAGTGTTCCCCAGGGAACGCTTGATTCTCAAAATTCCATGAGCTAGGCATTGTGTTTTACAAATAAGGAAGCAAGCTCAGGGACATCTGTCAAGGGCTGGAGATCACAGGGTGGTTGTGGTTTCCAGAGTGTCTGGTCTGGGGATGCTCTGAATCCGTTTTACCTGGGCCCCTGGTTGAAGCCATCTCTTCAGAAGACAGGTAAAAGGTGAAATGGAAGCAAGACACAAGGAAGAATCCACTGTCACGATCATGTCCATGTCATGAACCAAATATGGATGGCTGGTTGAATGGAGAGTGGATTTCCCTCGTAAACTTCTCCCCAAATCACAAGGAGAATAGAAATAAACTTAAAAGGCAAATATTTAGACGATGTCGTGAACCAGATTGTTTCCCTGCTAGATGCTGCTCAATAGCCACCTGCCACAGGTAGGAAGAGACCCACCCTCCTCACCACAGACCAGGGCACCTCAGAGCTCAGAGCCTGCTCGCCTCCCTGGCCTGTGCTCCTGGCCACCACAGCCCTTGCGCGGACACTCGTTCATACCGCGAGAGTCACTGTCTTAGCGTCTCTGCGGAAGCTGTTCTCTGCTCGCATCTCTAACCAGCAGGTGCTTCTCAGAAAAGCTATTTCTGACCATCCTGGTCCATAGAGCCCTCCATAACCGCTGATCCAGTCCACTTAGTCAGCTTAGTTTGGTATCACTTAGCAACCCTGGAATGCATTTACTTAGGATGTGTTTATCAATTACTGTACTTCATTTAATTATACCCCCTCCACACACACATACCCACCTGTTTGACTAGAAACTTTATGAAGGCAAGAAGGTTTGCGACATTCATAAACGATGCTCCTGGCACTGAGAGCAAAGCAGAGCACAGAGTGACGTAGTGCTACGAGTGACCCTGCAAGGGAGCCTGACAGGGTCGTGGTTCCTCATTGGGCTGCAGTTTGCAGGGTCAGTAGTCGAAAACCCCCAGTGGCTCAGAACAAGAGTGCTGGGGCTTTCTACTCCCATGAACAGCTGCTTCGTCACAAATGCATAGGGACAGCTCTACCCTGTCCTGTAGAGTACTGGCTCAG